GCCTCCCCAGGTGGTGGAGAATGGCGCCCTGCTGTCCTGGAAGCTGGGCTGCTCCCTGGACCAGAGCTCAGTCCCGAATATCAACAGCGTCCAGGGTCCGGCGAAGAAGGGCAGCATGTCGGCCAGGCTGGGCTACCCGGTGGTGGGGTGGCACATCGCCAACAAGAAGCCCCATGTCCCTAAACGGGTGAGGCGCCAACTAAACAACACCCCGACCCCCGTTCTGGCGGTGCTTCCTCCGACTACGGTGGTGGAGCCTCCGGTGAGGATCGTCCCAACCCTTTCCTCGCCCTCTATTGCTGCCCCGACCGAGAGCTCCGCCCCCCCTGTAAGAGGCCCAGTCCCCCTGCCAGCCAAGCCAACCATCAAAGTCCTTCAATCCATCGCCCACACCCCAACACTGGGACCCCCTCAACCAACAAGGGTCATGGAGACCACCAGCACCCTCCCTATCCAGCCCACCATGACCAGGCCTACGTACGTAGAGGCGACTGTGACCCCACCCATACCTACGAGAAAACCTACTAAGAAACCCAGGAGACCCAAATCCACACCCTCACCCAGGGAGCCAAAGACCACCACAGCGAAGCCGCCAAGGCGCACCACACCCTCCCCGGGGGTCCTGATCCCAGACCCAGCCAACGAGAAGCCCGTCCTGCGTAACCCCATCGACCAGGTCAATGCTTTGGTGGGAACCTACTTCGAAGTCAAGATCCCGTCGGATACATTCTTTGACAAAGAGGACGGGACAACTGACAAGCTGCGTCTAACTCTGAGACAGAAACACAACGAGGTGGTTGGGGAGACCTCCTGGATCCAGTTCAACACCACCAGTCAACTCCTGTATGGGCTGCCTGATGCCCAGCATGTGGGCAAACACGAGTACTTCATGCAGGCAACGGACAAAGGCAGCCTGAATGCTATTGATGCGTTTGAGGTGCGTGTGAACCGCTGGCCTGTCAATGATAAATCCCCTGTCATCTTCACAGCCCGGTTCGAAGGTGAGCCGCGTTCAATAACAAACGACATCCACAAGAAGATCCTCCTGGTCAAGAAGCTGGCCTATGCACTGGGAGATCGCAACAGCAGCACAGTTAGTCTCCGAAACATCACCAAAGGGTCCATCGTGGTGGAGTGGACAAACACCAGCCTCCCTCAGAACCCCTGTCCAAAGGAGCAGATAGCCATCCTGAGCAGGACGCTGGCCAGTGCTGACGGAAAACCCTCCCAGACTTTCAGGTACTCCATGGATCCTGAGTTCAGACCTCTGGACGTCCAGGTGAAGGGACGGGCAAGCTGCAGGACTTTCTCCTTCATCCCACCCGGAGAGATCGATATCCCAGAACCCCCTGCGGTCACTCCGGCTCTGGGAACGGGCCGGCAGAGCACCGATGACGTTTATCTGCACACCGTCATCCCCGCCGTAGTGGTGGCAGCCATCCTGTTGATCGCAGGCATCATCGCCATGATCTGCTACAGGAAGAAGAGGAAGGGCAAGCTGACCATCGAGGATCAGGCTACCTTCATCAAGAAGGGCGTGCCCATCATCTTCGCCGATGAACTGGATGACTCTAAGCCGCCTCCCTCTTCCAGTATGCCCCTGATACTGCAGGAGGAGAAACCCCCCCTGCCCCCTCCGGAGTACCCCAACATGGCCACACCGGAGACCACCCCCCTGAACCAGGAGCTGCTGGGGGAGTACACCGCCCTGCGGGACGAGGACCCCAACGCGCCTCCCTACCAGCCGCCGCCCCCCTTCACCACTCCCATGGACGGCAAGGGCTCCCGTCCCAAGAACATGACCCCCTACAGATCTCCACCCCCATACGTACCCCCTTAAGACTTGCTCCACCCTCCCCTTGCCGGGTGGAGGGAGAGGACACCTGAGGAACTGTGACGGTTTCCATTCTGGTGTTTGTCTGTCTGGACTTTTACAGGGAGAGATGACAAGAGGTGCTAAAGTACAAAACAGCTACAGGGGAGTCTGGTTTGGGAGGGGGCGTCATGAGGTGGGTGGGGTTTAACAGTAGACAATGGGATTGGTTGAATCAGCTGGGAGGGACTACTGATCCAGTGGTAGATCAGCTACTACAGTGGCCTAAAGACAAACAAAATCTTGACCCGCCGTCTTTCCGGCCGACTCGTCGGTCAGGAGCGGCGATTGGGAGCGGTGCTCTCCCATCCCAGCATTCATTTTGCTCATTTTAAATACCGGATTTTATTCAGTTTTTCATCATTACCCCGAGGTTATTATCTTTTTTTCTTGACTGAAGTGTTTGCTAACAAGTCTTCTCGGTATTGCTTTTTAATAATACGAGAAGACAGCAATTTGCCATCAGACCTTTAGGCATCAATCCGGGTTTTTAATAAAGAGTGAGACCCTCTGAATAACAAAATCACACGACGGATCTCACATCAGCCTGCAGACCGTGTGTGTGTGTGTGTGTGTGTGTGTGTGTGTGTGTGTGTGTGTGTGTGTGTGTGTGTGTGTGTGTGTGTGTGTGTGTGTGTGTGTGTGTGTGTGTGTGTGTGTGTGTGTGTGTGTGTGTGTGTGTGTGTGTGTGTGTGTGTGTGTGTGTGTGTGTGTGTGTGTGTGTGTGTGTGTGTGTGTGTGTGTGTGTGTGTGTGAATGAATGAGTGCTTGTGTTGATTCAGATTCAATACGGTTTGCCTTCTAACACCAGTTGTCTGTTTCTATCCTTTTTCACAATGTCTGGTAAAGAGGAGAATAACAAGGTAGCCTAAAATTGATTTAGAGATGAATAATAAATCATTTGTTTGTTTATTGGTTTAAATTCACTGTATATCTGGAAGATAGATCGTGTTATATGTTTTGGTGGTGAAAGAAAAGGACTGCCTCACTGAAATGACCTGCAGGAGATATCTTTCCTGTTCCATATAAATATAGATGAACTGCTGTCCATTGGAGGAAATATGAGATGTCTTTATCCCCTCTGGCTCGGGTCAATAAACTATTAATAAACTACTGTTTTTTTATCATGAAAGAGATTATTCTAATAACGTGTTCAGGCTGAGTCTGGATGCTTAATGTAAAGCTGTATGCAGATTTCCACAATGAGACTTGGATCTGGTGACAGATTTAGCCAAGGTGAAGTGAAATGCCATGTCCGCCCTTTTCTACAAACACAGGACAGGAAAAGGACCCCTCCAGTTTATTTTGTTCCAGGGATAATTATTTTTGTACGTAACCAGGCAGTTCTTCTCCCGGTCAGAGGAGGGGTTTGTGTCTCCGAGAGGTTCAAAGACCTGTCCAGAAATTGGCTCTCCTAAAAACGGTCAATCTCCTTCTCATTTTTTACCAAGTTTTTGATACAGCCTCAAACTGTTTGATTATTAAAATATTGATTAGTCTTCAGTGATTTGTAAAATCTTAGCCTAGAAGTTAAACTATGATTCAGTTATGTACACTTTGTTTTCTTGGGTCACATATTTCAAGTGTTTTATTTTACTGTGTGTGAGTTTGCATATCGCCATGTATCCCCCCCACTATACAAAGATGGAATGACCCATATTTTATGTAATCACAAAGTTTATTTTTATGTCCTTATGTTTGCTAATGATTTCATCAGAAAGTGACCCTTTGCAATAATAATGTAAGGCGCAGTCCGACACCACTGACTCGAGGTCGCTGGTCTATGCAGGATGCCAAGGCTTTTTGCTTATCGAGTCTGCATTGTCATAATAAAACCAACTGGTACGATAAAACAGATCCACCTTCTTCATTTCTGAGTTCACTGCCTGGTTCTGTTGGGTTTCTCCTCCAGAATGTCTCTACCTGTCTTCCTCTGATCTGCAGCCTGATCACAGCTGATCTCCAGAGGATGAAGAGGAGCTTCATCACCTCCTCTGTTTCCTCCTTTAGGAAACACTGGTAAGTACCGGATGGGTTGCTCTCATGTATTCAGTCATGGAAACAGCTGATGGTGACCGACAGGCTGAGGTTAATGGAGGATGTTTCTGATGGTTTTGACTCTGAGATGGATCAGTGTGTCTCAGAGGTTAAACCCCAGCAGACCTTCAGTAAAGATATCCTGGATGACCGGCTCCCTCTCCATCTGTCCTCACATGCAGATCATCGACTCCTCAGAGGATCCAATGGATGTTCAGCTGTGTGATAATTCACTCCTGGTTTAATTCTTCATGATGAATGTGTTCCTGAGCTGTGGCTAGATGTGGAGTGAAGACAGAGAGTATGGAGGATTGATCTGGGTCTGATTGAGATCAATGTGACGCTCTTCAAATATCCAATCCACCGACAGATCACCTCAGAGGTCCACAGGTTAAAGCAACACATCTCAGTCTCATTCAATCTGATTCTGAGACACTTTATTAAGTGTTCTTTAAAGTAATAAGCTATTCAAGGTTAAGGTTAGTTTATTTGTATAGCACATTTTAAGACACCAATGCATTTAAAAGTGCTTTATATAGGCATTAGCACGTAATAATTAAAAACAAAACAAACAAATTATCATTAATAAAAGGGATAAAAGAATGGTGCAATGATGAGGTTAAAGGATCTTAGGATAGGATTCAAAGTATTTCTCTGTGGTTCAAACAGGGAGAAAGGCTGTTTCTTACTGTCTGAAGAATATAAATACATAAGATATAAACACTTATATATACATGCATACACAAAATCAACATACATTTCACATGACACCGGTGTTATTCTAGTCTGGTCACATGACGCAGGTGTTATTCTAGTCTGGTCACATGACACAGGTGTTATTCTGGTCTTGTCACATGACACAGGTGTTATTCTAGTCTGGTCACATGACACAGGTGTTATTCTGGTCTTGTCACATGACACAGGTGTTATTCTAGTCTGGTAGATTATTTTGAAGAAGACATTTTTGAAACTCTCCATTCAGAAATCGCCTATTTTCAGTCCCAGGGAAATGTGCTTCTAACTGGAGATCTGAACGGACGAACAGGAATTGTTTACCACACCAACCGTCACCCATCGGAACAACCTTGACTCTGAAATAAATCAGAATGGCAAAGAGTGCATCTCTGTCGGGCCTTAGACCTGTACATAGTGAATGGGAGGTTCAGAGGGGACTCTTTAGGGAGATTCACATACTCCTCAACTCTAAGGTCTAGTGTAGTAGACTATGCAATCACTGACATGGACCCCTCCACTATCAGTGCATTCACTGTCAGACAGCAATTCCCCTTTTGAGACCACAACCAAATCAATGTGTTCTTTAAACTCTCAGGTCAAATGAGTGACACAACAAGGGAACCCAGTAAGCTGTATAAATTAAATCCTACTTACAGATGGGCCCTAGACAGTGGAGACAAATTCACCATGGCCTTGAACTCACCTGATCTGTTGAATGACATGTCACTATTTGACCAAAATCAATATGTTCCTACCAAAGATGGTGTAAACATGGCCATTGATTATATCAATATGATATTTCACAAGGCAGCTATTAAAGCTGACTTTATAAAACAAAAGCAGAAGCCTGTTAAAAGGCAAAACGCTGACAAATAGTTTGACCAAGAATGCAAGACCATCAGAAAAGACCTGAGAAAAATAGCAAATGAAAAAACATCGGCAAACAAACAACCAGTGTTGGGCAAGTTACTTCCAAAATGTAATACATTACATATTGCTTATTACTGTCTTTTTTTCTTAAAGTGGACCTATCATGCTATATTTGAATAATATATTGTAGGGCCATACCTATATAAGGTATATTTATACGTTTTTTTCTCCAAAATACCAAACAGATCATGCATTTTAGCCATGCATCATTTCGCTCTATTTGCTCTCCTCCAGCCCTGTCTTTGCATGGAGCTGCAGCTGACCACGCCCCCCTGCAAAGGAGGGGGGCGAGGCACGAGCGTCATGTTACCATGCTGTTACCATGCTGTTACCATGCCACGGCAACCTCTCATTCCCCTGATAGGTGGAGAGTTGGCCATATAGGCGGAGCTCCTCGTTCCTGACGTCAGAGAATTTTGAAATCTGTCTCAGTCTGTATCAGATCCGTTGCAGCCCCGTTTTTAGAGATTTGGGTATGGAGGAAAAGAGAGAGGATTGTGTTTTCTGACACTTGGTGAGTTCCCTGATACACCGGGGACACATATTCATGTGTAAAAGACGTACAAAAGTGCATTTTTCGCACGATATTACTGTCTCTGAAATGTAATGAGTTACACTTCTTTTATATTACTTTTGAGTTACTTTCACCAAAATAACCGCAAAAGAATGGCTAGGTATTTTAAATGCTAAAATGTAGTTTAGTGCAGCTCATTATACACCCAGTGAAGGGCAAAGTGGTATAGCATAACAACTGTTTAGGCCATTAAGGCTACTAACAACTTTTATTACACGGCTTAGTTGAATACTCGATTCTGATTGTAAATTCTTAACATGTGACACATTGTTAATACATTAGTACAGACCGCTGTCAAGGACTATAATGAAGGTTGCTAAGGAGGATCAAGAAAGAGAAAGGAAAAGAGGTTAAAAGACGGAGCGCTGGACGTCAGATAAATCACCAGAAGAAGGTAGAGAGGAAGTAAACAATAACAGGAACACGGAATGGGCTCTGTAGTTTGTTTAGTATATGGCCATGTGCAGGCCCAGTTCCAGAACAAAATGACTTGGGGTGCCTCTGAGATTACAGGGGGTGCAGCGGTAGTAGGTTTACGTGAGCAATAGTGGCCGGCAACAGCAATGAAAACTAGAGAATGCAATTCGTGAAGAAATTGCTAGTGGGAATGCTTTATGCTGAAAAGCTGACGCTAAACTGCTATGCTGAAATGTAATGTGTAAGAAGAAAGTGAAGAATTTAGATTGAAATGATACATGAACACTGGGGGCTTGAATGTGTGATGAGTGAAGAAAAGAAAGTAAAAAGGCTTGGAAAAGCAGCAGAATATTTGAACTGCAAACTTTTGAACTAACTTGATGGCGAATGATCTGTCGCCATGGCAACGGCATTTGATGACACCCCATAATACGCTTAGATGCGTTGATGGCTGCATCGTTACCAAACCTGTGAAGTTTTTGGCCGTTTGGAACATTTTCACTGAAGTTATGAGAAAACCGTGTTTCATGGCGAGCATTGTGTTGCCATGGCAATGGCATTTGAAGAAACCCCATAATTGACGTAGAGCTGTTGAGGGCTGTACCGGTGATATACAAGCGAAGTTTGGGGGGTGATCGGACCGTTTCCATTGGACTTACAGCGACATCATGCTTCATGGCGAGTGGTCTGTCGCCATGGCAACGGCATTTGATGACACCCCATAATACGCTTAGATGCGTTGATGGCTGCATCGTTACCAAACCTGTGAAGTTTTGGGCCGTTTGAAGCATTTTCACTGAAGTTATGAGAAAACCGTGTTTCATGGCGAGCATTGTGTTGCCATGGCAACGGCATTTGAAGAAAGAGAAAGAGAGAGAGAGAGAGAGAGAGAGAGAGAGAGAGAGAGAGAGAGAGAGAGAGAAGTTAGAACTGA